GGTCTAGCGATCACTACTTGTACGATATATAGACTACACTATAGACTAGACTATAGACTAGACTATAGACTAGACTATAGACTAGACTATAGACTGGACTATAGACCAGACTACAGACTAGACTATAGACTAGACCACAGACTAGACTATAGACTAGAATATAGACTAGAATATAGACCAGACTACAGACTAGACTATAGACTAGACCACAGACTAGACTATAGACTAGAATATAGACTAGAATATAGACTAGACTATAGACTAGACTATAGACTAGACTATAGACTATACTATAGACTAGACTATAGACTAGACTATAGACTAGACTATAGACTAGACTATAGACTAGACTATAGACTAGACTATAGACTAGACTATAGACTAGACTATAGACTAGACTATAGATAGACTATAGACTAGACTATAGACTAGACTATAGACTAGACTATAGACTAGACTATAGACTAGACTATAGACTAGACTATAGACTAGACTATAGACTAGACTATAGACTAGACTATAGACTAGACTATAGACTAGACTATAGACTAGACTATAGACTAGACTATAGACTAGACTATAGACTAGACTATAGACTGACTATAGACTACTATAGACTAGACTATAGACTAGACTATAGACTAGACTATAGACTACTATACTATAGACTAGACTATAGACTAGACTATAGACTAGACTATAGACTAGACTATAGACTAGTAGACTATAGACTAGACTATAGACTAGACTATAGACTAGACTATAGACTAGACTATAGACATAGACTATAGACTAGACTATAGACTAGACTATAGACTAGACTATAGACTAGACTATAGACTAGACTATAGACTAGACTATAGACTAGACTATAGACTAGACTATAGACTAGACTATAGACTAGTCTATAGACTAGACTATAGACTAGACTATAGACTAGACTATAGACTAGACTATAGACTAGACTATAGACTAGACTATAGACTAGACTATAGACTAGACTATAGACTAGACTATAGACTAGACTATAGACTAGACTATAGACTAGACTATAGACTAGACTATAGACTAGACTATAGACTAGACTATAGACTAGACTATAGACTAGACTATAGACTAGACTATAGACTAGACTATAGACTAGACTGTAGACTAGACTATAGACTAGACTATAGACTAGACTATAGACTAGACTATAGACTAGACTATAGACTAGACTATAGACTAGACTATAGACTAGACTATAGACTAGACTATAGACTAGACTATAGACTAGACTATAGACTAGACTATAGACTAGACTATAGACTAGACTATAGACTAGACTATAGATTAGATTATAGACAAGACTATAGACTAGACTATATACTAGACTAGACTACAGACTAGACTATACATAGACTAGACAATAGACTAGACTGTAAAATAGACTATTGTCCAGACTATAGAATGCACTATAGTCCAGATTGTAGAATAGACTATAGTCCAAACTATACAATAAACATAGTCCAAACTAAATAATAGATTGTAGTCCAAACTATATAATAGACTATAGTTCAGACTATATAATAGTCATTAGTCCTGACTATAAAATATACTATAGTCTAGACTATAGTCCAGACTATAGATTAGACTATAGTCCAGACTATAGATTAGACTATAGTCCAGACTATAGATTAGACTATAGTCCAGACTATAGATTAGACTATAGAATAGACTGTAGTCCAGACTATAGAATAGGCTATAGTACAGACTATAGAATAGGCTATAGTACAGACTATAGAATAGACTATAGTCCAGACTATAGAATAGACTGTAGTCTAGACTATAGAATAAACTATAGTCCAGACTGCAGAATAAACTATAGCCCAGGCTATAGAATATACTATAGTCCAGACTATAGAATACAGTATATTCCGGACAACAGAATAGGCTATAGTCCAGACTATAGAATAGACTATACTCCGGTCTATAGAATAGACTATAGTCCAGACTATAGAATAAACTAAAGTTCAGACTATAGAATATACTATAGTGCAGACTGTAGAATAGACTATAAAGCAGACTGTAGAATAGACTATAGTCCAGGCTATATAATATACTATTGTCCAAACTATATAATAGACTAGATTCTAGGCTAGGCTATAACCTAGATAATAGACTACATAGAAAACTAAACTACCAAAATATAACGATATGTACAAGTTAAATAAGACGAGTAAGTTTGATCCTTAAAACTACTTCATCTTCTGAATAACCGTTAAATCTTTGGAAAAAAAAAACTTATTATCAAATTAGCCGTACTCTTAATCACTTGATAATTGGCTAAATTATGTTTCTGCATATTAAGTTTAATAAGCTAAAACTGGAGCTTTATACAAACAATTTGTAGTCAAACAAACAAAATGTAGTCAAAATAGCTAAAAATAACTAAAAATCATAAACAACCACCCATGTTTAGAAAAAGGCTTTTGCTTTTTTTTCCTGCTGATTTAAAATACTCCACAAATACAAATATTGTGCTGGTAATATGAGCATAATGACAAAACAACTGAACGACCTACCCAAAGGAATAAATGTGCTAAAGTTTATTGGCAGAAATGGTTAGATTTTTTTATTTTGCTAAGCAGTGTTAGAAAGGAGTGTAATCATAATGTAGAAATGTAGCATATCCAATGCTTTTGTAAGGTAGGATTGGGTTTATAAGTAAACGAATGTACCCTAGGTGATATGCTCCCCTTATTAAGACTCCCTCAACTTTCAGCGTTATGGAGAATTTCGGTGGACATACTATGTAGTCATGCTTCAAAAGCGAGCGGAGTTTTAGGATCGATATCGTATTGCAAATTTAATCTGCTTACCTGCTTACAGAAATGACGAAATGTTTACATGATCAGTGGACGTAAAGCTAACAAAATTTATTAAAACAACAACTGATGGTGAGCTTGGGTAAAGGAAATGCACTATAAATCTGTCCTCGTGGCAAAAAGTGAACATATTGCCTCGAATTTTTACTCCACATATGGAAACGACTTGTCTTTAAATGATCAGAGAGTATTGCGATAATCAAATTCCCAAAAACACCACCTGATCGTGGTAAATTGTAGCTCATAGCAACAAGGTGATAAATCGATCATATTTCAAATACCACTAGAATCGTTAAAGCATTAGTTTATAACCAAGACCATAATAACCTTTACTGATTCAGCCACAAGATCATAGTCAAAATTGATTTATACTCATAAATCGTGGAGGTAAAGCAACAAATTGGCTTGGAAAGCCAGAATCTTTATCCTAAAGACACCACGATCGTCTCTCTATCCTTCCAAATGAGAAATTGACTTGAAATCTTTTATCAATAATTACGGATCCTTCGAATCGTTATTTTAGAGTTCAATCGAAAAAAGGCATAAAATTGTCGTGGAATTAGTCGTATTTCGATCGTCTGAAGTAACAACGATCGCGTAAAAAGTCCTTTTAAATTATTCTAAAGGACAAACTGACTGTAAGGGATCACATTCAAACCAAGGATCGCTCAATGGTTTGAATATGGTCCTTCTTTCAATGACAGTAATATTTACAAAACAAACATATACAACGCGGACTTAAAAGGACCATACAACAATCGGAAGGACCATATTGCAAACGAGAGGTTAAGCTTTTAGTAGCCTTTGAAGTCCAATTTCACCATTACTTTGAATCATACTTTGAAATTTCTCAATTTCTGCCCCAAAACGATTTGATCCTTTTACATCCTACTGTTAATCATATACAATTTTTTCTCCTCACAACAAAATCATTAATGAATAAAAATAAATCTACTACCGTGGGTGCAAAAACTCCACGCACTACAAATTTGTTAAAGAAAAGAGCAAAAATACATTATTATTATTTTTCACACACACACAAAAGACCCAGTTAAAGCAGGACATGATGACAAAAAGAAAAAAAAAAAGAAATGTATGAAAAACGAACTATAAACGGCAGCCAGCCTTCACGGTTTAATTGGTTGCAAACGATATAAATGTCATGCATTCGCATACAACAGCAACAATGAAATGTCAAATGCACAGAAAAAAAACTATGGCAGCCATTGATTTTGTAAAAAGGAAACAGACAGCAGCTTCTGCTAGTTCCTGACAGCTGCTTTGGTTTTTGTATGTTAAACGGCCACAATAATTTGGAGTTTTCCTTTTTTTGGTATATTGCTAGATCATTAATAGCAAATGTTGCTTAATGGTGGTAGTTGCTGGAGTTTATTATAAGGTGGTGGTTAACTGCTGGAAAAGGAAATAAAAAGTAATAGAAAAACACCCTTTTATCAAGAGCCAATCAGATTATCAGGTAAAGATCCATACAGCAACAAAACAAACTCTTGAATACTAGAGTAAAACAAACAACACACTCTCACCAAACTCAAATGCATTCGTGCAAGATTAGCTAACTCACTAAAGCAGAAAAGAGAGGATAGCTACAGCAAAACCTATAGCTGGACTCTTCTTTTAATGCCTTACCAACTCCAAAGAGAGTGCAGTGCAAGCTTTGATCGTTGCCATTGTTTAGCCACCACCAAATGTATAAATGTGTGTTGCCACACAACAAAAAAACGTGAATTAAAACCTTTAAACGGGTTTGAATTTTATTTAATTCACGTTCAATATCAAAATAACGCCCCTTTAGTTATCATATTAAGAGAGTTAGAGAGAATAAGCGCTCTATTAGCACAGCGGGCAGTCTGGCGCGTTTGTTTGTTATTTCAATAATTTTTATTATTTGTCTGTTTCGCGTTTTTATTTCAACGTTTATGGAGGAACCAGTTTTAGTGGTTTTTGTGATCTTGTTGCGGCTTTATTAATTTATGCTCGCGCGCTCTTTAGTTGTTGGCCAAGTGTCGTGCTGTTTGATTGAATAAAAGAAAAATAACGCGTTTTAAACTGCTAAAATAAAAGACAACGTTATTTTAAACAAAAAACGTACCGTTATATTAACAATATATAGTTTTTAGCCTTAAGAAATATTGCTTGCCAAAAAAAACCTCCAAGATAAGAAAAATAACATAAAGCCTTAAAAGCTTTTTAACAACTACCGTCGGTATATGGTTTCTAAAGCTTTTAATTATAGTGTTCAGTGTTTTAACAAAATAAAATTTATAAAAAAATTGAAACAAGAAAAAAAATTCCTTTTAAATTTATATTATAAGTGCAATTTTTATGATATCCTTTCTTTTTGCCAAGGCTAATTTTATGTTTAAGAAAATAAGTTAAAGGATTACTAAAGAATTTCTTTTTGTTGTACAAAAAAAAAAAACAAAAGTTCCTAGCAATATGGATATGTCTAGTGCAAATTCTTTGAATATGCGGCCCCTATTTGCGGGTTATCCTTTTCAAGGTGAGTGATTAAACGAAAATTGGATCTAAACCAAACTATCTGGGCTAAAGGAATCATAGGAACATTTAAAACATCCTTTATTGCAGCATTTTCCCTGTTAGCTTCTGTCTGCTTTCCTGTAGTGCTTCACGGCTCATGTCACCTTGGTGAAGCGCTCATTAGCTTGGTGTTATTGAAAGAGGTGCTACCAATATCTCTAGTCTGTCGTGGCTAGAAACTGGAGGATCTCAACTGTTGTCATATGTTGTCATATTGTGACATGTTAAGGGACTGTGATTGAGGTTTACCACTTCCTTTCAGGACAATTACTAAGTTCAGTGTCAGCACTCGGCACTTTTTCCATAGCTTTTAAAACATTTCCTAAATATCACCTCCTTTATTGCAGCATTTGCCCTGTTAGCTTCTGTCTTCTCTCCTGTAGGGCTCTACGACGCATGTCACATTGGTGAAGCGCTCATTAGCTTGGTGTTATTGAAAGAGGTGCTACCAATATCTCTAATCTGTAGTGGCTAGAAACTGGAGGATCTCAACTGTTGTCATATTGTGACATGTTAAGGGACTGTGATTGAGGTTTACCACTTCCTTTTAAGACAATTACTGAGTTCAGTATCAGCACTAGGCACTCCTTCCATAGCTTTTAAAACATTTCCTATATACCACATCCTTTATTGCAGCATTTTCTCTGTTAGCTTTTGTCTTCTCTTCTGTAAGGCTCCACCGCGCATGTTACCTTAGTGAAGCGCTCATTAGCTTGTTGTTATTGAAATCCCGGGTAATAGATGTGCTACCAATATCTACAGTTTGTCGTGCCTGGAAACTAAAGGATTGTGACATGTTAAGAGACTGTGATTGAGGTTTACCACTTCCTTTCAGGACAATTGCTGAGTTCAGTGTCAGCACTCGTCATTTTTTCCATACCCAATATGTATCTTTCTTTCTGCTTCGAGTGTGTTATTTCGGCTTGTAGAAGTTGAGAAATCGTTGATCTCTGCGGTAGTTGTGCGACTTGAAAAGGTTGAGGATTATGTAGGATCAACATCGCTTTTGACAACGTTGATCTAGGTGGTTCGTATTTCCGGTTAGTTGGAAGAAAAGTGGAGATTGTTGGGAATTGAGAAACCCCTCTCTATTGACTCAACGGAGTAATTGCTTCTTCCCTGTCAGGATATTCATTGGGTTTTACTTTTGGTCTTCGGCACTCAAAACTACCCAATAAGAGTCTATGTGCTGTTATCGAGTATGGTAGCTCGCAGAATTTGAGAAATCGTTGATCTTTGCAGTGGTTGCGCGACTTGAAAAGGTTGAGGAATATGTTGGATGGGTTTACTTCAACATAGCTCTTGACAACGTTGATCTGGGTAGTTCGTATTTCTGCTTAGGTGGAGGCAAAGTGGCCGTTGTTGGGATTTGAGGAACCCCTCTCTATTGATTCAACTGAGTGATTGCATTCTTCTTGTCAGGATATTCATTAGGTTTTGCTCATGATGCCTGTTATGTAGGGCTTCCCAATAGTCCTTTATTTGGTCTTTGACACTTAAAACTACCCAATAAGACTCTGTGTGCGGTCTTCGAGTCTGGTAGAGCGACTTTCCTCCTCGTCAGGATATTTATTGGGTTTTACTCATGATGCCTGTCATGTATTATTACTTCATTATGCGCAAACTTTTTCCAAATTCCCTTTGAAATTTCATAATACTTGGCACATCATACATTACAATCTTCACTGGATTACAGTAATGACAATTTCTCTTCGTGTTTCTTTTCTATTTCTCCTTTTCAATTCGATATTCCATTAGTCTCATAATAGTTTCCTAACATCTCCGTTTCGATTCCTGCAACACCTTTCTTGGGACATCTTTCATTGGAGTACTATTATCGTTCTCTTCTTCCAAGCTTTTCAATTCTAAGATACATTTAGAATGGCTTCAAGGTTTACAAATTCACGTTTCAATTAATACTTAGTTTTGGAAAATGATCATTAGAAACTTGTGTACTCAAATCCAATCTTTTGGAAGACTTCTAAAGCACACACTTTTCTTCAATATGTTCTCTACGAGTGTCACAGAACTATGAAGGGTTTATAAGAAGATCAAAGCCAAAGCTACTGATCCTACATCCAAATCCTAAACATCCTTAAAGCATTTGCAATACTTGATCAACTTTTAAATCATTTAGTGTTAAGGAGGATTATTCCGATCAATTCCAACTTGACTCTAGCTATAATACGTAAGCAAACTTAAAGTTCTTTTCTTTCTTTTTCGATTCCTGCTCGACTTTATCTAAATTCCTTTTGGAATTCCGTGATCGTGCAACACCTTTCTTGGGACATCTTTGATTGGAGTACTTTTATGTTTCTCTTCTTCCAAGCATTTCAATTCTAAGATGCATTTAGAGTGGCTTCAAGGTTTACAAATCCACGTTTTGATTGGTACTTAGTTTTGCGAAATGATCATTAGAAACTTGTGTATTCAAGTCCAACGTTTTGGGATACTTCTAAAGCGCACACTTATCTTTGATATGTTCTCTATGAGTGTCACAGAACTATGAAGGGTTCTTAATAAGACTAAAACCAAAGCTACTGATCTTCATCAGTTTGCATTGCCTTTCGTTAAAATCCTAATCCTTAAATCATTTGCAATACTTGAGCAACTTTTAAATCATTTAGAGTTAAGGAGAATTTTCCGATCAATTCCAACTGCACTCTCGTTATGACGCATAATCAAATATGGACTTCTTTTGAATGGCTACTATCGCTTTTTATAGAGAGCGGAAAGGAGCTAACCATGTTCTCAGTAATCAGATCTTCTCTCATATCTAATGTAACGGAAATCCGACTTTATCACTTTATTGAATACCGCAATGTGAAGGATTTAGTAATGATTTTACTGACATGTTATTTTGAACTAGATCTTTCATATCGTTGAATGGTGTGATCTTGTCAAATACAAAACTTTTTTCCTTTGCAAGTTTTTTAAATCAATTATCCTTTGAAAAGTGAAAATTCGAATAGGAAACTCTGTTGAGTGTTCTATCACTTCGAATATACTTTCGGTGAACTGATCTTTAGTTTCATGACAATACACAACCCATGATCATTTAAAGATCACTGAGTACATTATAAACAAACTATTCTAAAACATTTTCCAAGTCTTTGTAAGATTGTTGTTGAAGTTCTTTTATCGTTCGGGAAAGAAGATCCAATTGTTTTGGGATAATGAATATCTAGTTAGATCAATGATCTTTAAGCAATTCAGATGTGGACTGAATATTATTCCTTTACCATCAGCTACACCATTTAATCTCTGAAACTCTGTTAAAATATTGATAAACTTTCTGATATGATCGCAATAACTGATTGCTCTTTAAATCAAAAGTCCAAAGATGCAAAACCCTCATCGAAGACTAAAATAGATCGGATGCGCAAATAGTATGATCGGAATTATGTATATATCTAGAAGAAGGATCAATCGATATCTTTTAATGCGAAGCTCTAGTATCAACACAATTTGAGTGTTTTGTCGACATCATTCTAACATCTTAATGATCATTTGCCTTATAATGAATGATGGCGTGATCACTGTGAATTATCAGTTTTTTCTATAGCGTCACAGTTTTGGCTCATTAATCGATTTATTAGGTATAGCTTTAGATGTTGAAGTAACGTCACAACTGTAGTTTGAATCCAAATCACAAAAAGATAAAGAGAAAATGATCGATAAAAGTGAAAAACTTTCAAACTTCTTACATTTATGTTTCAAAATTTCCATAAATCTTATCGCAAAATAGTTCATAAGTAAGATCCGTTTTGCAAAGCCATACAGATTTTAAAGTCTCTGTATATGAAGCAAATTGTGCTCAAATGATAAAGCAAGTCAAGGTTCACATAAATGATCGCTTTATCTCTAATATTATCGGTACTTCAAAGGAAGAAATTATTTATTTTTTTATAATTTAATTAATTTTTTATTTATTTTATTTTCTTTTGTATACAGGTCAGGGTCGTGTTAATCAACTAGGCGGTGTCTTTATCAACGGTAGACCGCTACCTAATCATATACGTTTAAAAATCGTCGAAATGGCCGCTAGTGGTGTACGACCCTGTGTTATTTCCCGCCAATTGCGAGTATCACACGGTTGTGTTTCGAAAATATTAAATCGTTATCAAGAAACGGGCTCCATAAGACCGGGTGTTATAGGCGGCTCTAAACCCAAAGTAACCTCACCCGAAATAGAGGGACGCATTAAGGAAATGTGTAAAGCCAACCCGGGTTTATTCAGTTGGGAAATACGAGAAAAACTAATAAAGGTAAGTAGTGTAAAAGATGTTTTTTAGGACAATGAAAGGAATAATTTAAAAGTCTTTTGAAATAAGCAAAACTAAAGGAAACAGTGGCAAAAACCACATATTAACCTTTATAGTTTTTAGTCAAAGGAATTCCAAAAAGTCACGTGTCTGTTGGATAACTACTATAACTTCCGTTTGTTTTGTTATGAATGAAACTAAATTAGACAATGAAATGAAGAACCCCATAGAGTTTGTTTATAGTTTAAGGTCAAATAAATATATAGTGTATTATATAGAGCTAAAATGACATTAAAATGTCTAAGAGAAGGTGTTTTTTAGTTGACACGAAGTGTAATGCCACCCAAACCGTTAAGAAATTGATTTAAGTGAGGCGGCAAGGTGCAAACAAATTACATTTCACAGTCCAACTCTAACTTCCGCCTTGGCACGCACATTTATTTTCTCTTTTCCTACATTATTTTAATCATATATTTGCAAGTCGGTTCGGCTCGTCTGTTCTTAGTCGATTATGTCTATAGATTTTTGTTTGCACGTTGCATGGCATTGCAAATGTTTATTGTTGTTGACACCTTGAAACCTTTAGGCCATAGTTAATGGTATAGTATGTAGGTTCCTACGTTCATTCAGGTTTTTGTGCGGCATTGATTCATGAATGAAAATGTTATCCTTTTATGTGTCACATTTTGTAGCAGAGAGTTACCGCCTTTAAGTTTTTTTTTGTTTATTTTAAATTAGCGTAACTTTTGCATTGATTTTGTGATTTTTTATTATATTTTATAGGTTTTAGTTTTTGTGTGTGTTGCCTCAAAACCTACATCAATGATTCTTATTTTGAATTTGTTAAAGTTTTTCTTTTGTTTTTGTCTTTAAGGCCCAGACCAGTTGACGCTGTGGGTGTAGGTTAAGGGAAAAAGTAATTTCGTAGGTTTCCGTTATAGTTTGCTTTTGAGTGTCGTAGTGTTAAATTTATAGCAGATAGACTTGCTGGGAACGCTGTTCGGTTTACCATTAGAATCAAGGAACTTCACAAAGTTTTCAATGTGTTACCCGCGATATAAGTGCATAACTTCTGTAGTAGGGAATATCCGGAATAAACTGGATCTGATATCGAAGCTGAGTTTTAATCCTTTTGTTTGAAAGTATCCACACTTGACTTGTCTGGACACCAAACAAGAAGTCAATGTTAAGTCTAATTCGGGATATCTGATGCCTCTAGAACTTCTCCTCTAATCCTCTGCAAAGAATTCAAACAGCAATTTCCAACCTCTATGGAAGGAAGTGGTTTTCATCTATATCTCTCCAGCAGATAAATTTCCTAATAAAATGCAATTGTAGAAAGTCTCGTCGGGCCTTTTGATTTAAATCCAAACAGCAATTACCATCCCCTATGGAAAGGAGAAGTACTTTTCTTAATCGAGTGGTCATTGTTAAATTTGGTATATCTTGCGCCTCACGAACTTCTCTTCAGAGTGTCTGAATGGAATGCGCACTGCAATTTCCAATTTCCAAGGACATTTTTATATCATGCGGCTTGTACTGGACTCATTATCTTCGATGAAACCCATGTGTTAAATCTTTGGAATCAACTATAGCTTAATCAGAAGGAAGAGTCATTAATAGGTTGAAGTCCAATGAATGAACACAACCTGTTGTCATCTGGATCAATAGCTCCCTGTGGAAAAAATTCCGAGAGTTCTCATTCCAGAACCATCAAAGCAATTCAATGCTTGTTATGGCATTGAATTGCTGGGGTTCACTTACTACTAGGCGCCAAAGGAGAAATTCTTATCAATCCATTTTTTAAGATTTTTGATTCAACTTTCATTGGGGTGTAAAGGTTCAATCAGTGCGCAATTGAAACTGATATATGACTAAACAAACTTATCTGAATCGATGAAAAGAACCTTTGAGGAGGAACATCGCGACTGTGGTGAACAGTATAAAGAGTTGGGAACGTTTCCATTCTTAGGTTTCTAGAGAATTAACATATTGTGATCAGAGGTTCTTTGTGCTTCCTTTCCAATCGGACTTTTAATGCGGAACTTCGAAAGATAACGTGGAGACTGCTGTTATTAACAATAAGAGGAGTGGACGAACTCTTACTGAGAGCTCTTCTGTGAATAGAGCGTCGGCATTTTTGATACGTCTCCGATTGTAAAGTAAAAGGTAGAAATGTCCGAACTTATTCGGTGTTCCAAGTAAAAGTAGATAATCATCCAGTGTATCGTAAGGCACAACTTTGTATCAGGAGACTCTGGCCTATGATGTTGAACTTCTAGACGTAATACGACGACTGCGTTTTAAATCCAAATCTAAGAAGTACTATAAAAGATCACAGTCTATGAAATTAACGCAAACTTTTTCCTGTCTTTTGACGCACAATTTCAAGAAGTAACATGATAGCTAGGGTTTGCCTCTATATGTCGGAGGCAAACCATTCGGGTCTCTGTAAAGAATTAACGGAACTTTGAGAAATAGTGGAGAGAGAGAGAAATTGTTAGTTCTAGATGCGATCTCCGTCTGACTTTTAACGGAACGTCAGGGAGTAACACACGGCTGTTATTTAATTCGAATTCGTGGAAAAAAGGATACATGGACTTTGTGATTCGTGGAAAAAAGGATACATGGACTTTGTGATATTGATCTCAAATGTCATTAATAGAACGCTTAGAAGTAGTCATCGATTCCCAAACAATGGAAGGATTCTCGTCCATATAACAAAAACCTTGAAGCTCATCCTGTAGGTATAAAAAGTGTCGTTGTACTAAGAATTTTCCTGTTATTCTAGAGCATTGAGGTTGGAGGTCTACAGTTAGACTTGGACTCCCAAATAAGGCGAGGATTTTCATTTAGATAATAACAACCTTTAAGCCTATCCTGTAGGTGATACGTAATGTCTTGTACTGATGATTTGGTTGTTATTCTAGGCCATAGAGAAGAGTAGATCTAGAGTTAACCTTCGACTGCCAAATAAGGCGAGGATTCCCACCAACCTTCAACCGCATTCTGTAGGATATTAGTGACGTACTGTGAAGCATAAGGAAGTTCCATTAAATCCATCAATGATCACGAAAAATGATCCATAGTACATGTCCCAAGATCTTGCTTGATCGCGATCTTTAATCACTATCGGTAAACACTTCTAGCAGTGTCTATCACACTTCCCCCAAAACGGCGTCACATTCCAAAACTACATTTCACCTACGAAATTACTTTAAACCTTCACCAATATCTATCATTTTCAATACATACATGATCATTTCTTTATCAGCTTGCCTCATACTTCTTATAGAATCTTTCCTCTATTCGTCTTTATGAATTATTTGCTGTCTTTTTTTTCAAATTCACCAATGACGTTATTTCTATCTACATTTTGCCGTTTTAGTTTTTATTGTTTCAAACATTACTTTTACTTGAAAGCCGCAATTAGTTACACTTTAATATGCCGATAGTGTTATGATATCTTAACGTATGTATAGATTTATTTATAAGGAGTTAAAGAAACCCTATCTCAAGCCATTAAATATTCTGCAGATAGTTCACAAACATGGCCAAATATATGTTGTATTGATCGATTGATCATCATAATGTTTCATCACTCATTTGTACGTGTATCAGGTTTATCTATATGGTCATCTCTTTATTATCATCGTAGCGATCAATAAATTTCGCGCACACATATGAGTATGACTCCGTTTATTAGGGTATACCCTGATCATGGGGGAAATATTTTCTTTTTATTTAATTTTACTTTTTTTTTGGGAGTTGTGGTTAACTTTATTAATAAACTTCAAATATTTATTCACTGATATTTGGTACGCCCTATCTTATGTTGTTTTTTTCTTTTCCTAAATATTGTTGTTATTTTTTGCCCTCCTTTTCTATATGTTGTTGTTGTTATTATTGTTACATTGAGTAGGCTTTAACAGCCTCCAGGTGCGCTTCACGCTAAATTAGAATATGAGTTGCTTTAAATATATTTTGTTCTTTTAAACAACATTGTTATCCATTCAAGATAAGTCGCCCCGATGGACGAGCCAAATACCCTCTTGTCATCCGCTTTCATAGTTTGGCTGTCTGGCTATTGGCTTGATCTATGATCACTTGTGTTAGGGTTGTTCAATGTTATGTTTTGGTTTTAAGCCAATGCAGCCTACTACAAACATATTGCCGCATACCACATACTTAAAAATAGAAATTTAATCCAGGATTATATAATTCATTAAACATAATACAATTTGCATTTACTTGGCCATACAGAAATGCAAATCTGTTTGCTACTTATCTTAAACAATACAAGATCAATTGCCCATGATCTAATTTTTTCTTCCAAAAATCTTAATTGAATTGCTCTCTTTTTTATCTAAATTTACACTGCTAATTATTTCATAACTCAATATCTGCTGTTGCAACAGCTGCTATGACGCGCGTGTGTTTTTTTGAAATATTTATAAAGAAATTTTCCAATCAATTGTTGTTCGAAGTACTTAGATCATTTAGTTTAACAAATCTTTATTATTTTGTATATATAATTTTAGAGTTCGTGATTTAAAACGCCTCGTAAACGCCTTGTATTGCTTAAACTTTTGCTTTATTTAGTTGACTATAGAAAATAAATCAAATAGATTTGGCAAACATTGTAGCTTAAGGCCTTTTGTAGGTTAACGTTTTTTTTTCTATTTAGTGATTTATAAGATAAGCTTTTTTTAAACATATTTAAGGCGTCCTTATGTCTCTAAGATCGCAAAGATAGAAACTTTGTGGAGACCTTACTTGGGAAAGAGGGTGGGTGGTTGGATCAAAACAGATGTTTTTTTTTTAATTCTTAATGGATTCAGTATCAGATTGCTACTAGTTCTGTTCTAGTTCTATGCTAGTTCTGTTCTAGTTCAGTTCTACTTCAGTTCTAGTTCAGTTTTAGTTCAGTTCAGTTCTAGTTCAGTTCTAGTTCAGTTCTAGTTCAGTTCTAGTTCAGTTCTAGTTCAGTTCTAGTTCAGTTC